TGGTAGCAACAGCTGCCCTGGGGCAGACTGACAGAGGCGTGGCTTCCATTCTGCGCCTACGGCCCCTCCGACCACCACCTCAAACAATCCATTCATACGTATTCACACCAGACAAGGTGGGTGAAGTGTCTTGCCCAACGACACAAAGACCATGACACAGGGTACAGGGCGGAATCGAACCGCCAACCTTCCAACCATTGCCGGAGTTGCTGTACCACCTGAGTTATTTATATCTGCATCTCAGTTATATTCCTTCCTCATCATGTTCACATGGTGAGTTTATTTATACAGGCCTTTTGGACAGTTGTAGCATCTAATAAGCATCCCTCAGCCTTGCCAGTATAAGCAGTAAGAGCCTGTGGTGTGTGTCTCATATACAAAGCTCCTGATTACTTCAGTAGGTTAAGTTTGGTGCTGGTCCCCATATTGACATGCACAGAAACCTGACTCAGATCTATGGAAATGTACAAGTATTCATTACTGAAAGTAACTACAAGTAAGGAGTCCTATGTAAAACTTTTGACAAAAATGATAATTTAGAAATGGGTATGCAATATTTTTAATCAGTATGCTTTTTTCTTCAAATTTGCATACACTATTGCAAGGAGAGGAAAAACAGGCAGTGGACAGAGAGTTGTTAACAATCAGTAAACTGCTAAAAACTTCTTTTAGGTTTTTACACATCAGCAGACGGGCATTCGTAAAATCTGAAGGACTAAAAAAAGTAAAAGGAACTCAAAGTGACTCAGACAGGCGCAGGGGTTGCAGTGCGGGGAAGAAGGGTCACTAGCCCAGTCTGGAGTTTTATTTGATTTATTTTGGCAGTGAAGTAGAATAAAAATTGTTCATATTGGGGTCGCTTCAGTTTGTTTGCAAGGAGGATTATTAAGGGTTTGATGATTTTATTGATTTTGGATAGGCTGTCATTCAGTCTTTTATATTTAGCTATGAAATCACCAAATAGGTTGGTTTTTAACGTCTTGTGAGTTGACCTGATCTTTCACATTTTTACATGTGCTTTGGGAGCAAATATAGTTTCACAGTTGTACAAATCTGAATCTAAATCATTTATAGTCTCAATCCAATACTGTTGTCCTAGATAATACACACTTCAAGTATATTCATGTTATTGAAATCAATTCAGTGTATGTGTTTGATAACTGAATTTCTCTGCAGTCAAGGTATTCCACAATGTTCTGTAGGGGGTCTGGAAATTGTTCTAAACCTCCAGTAGGGCATTTTTTGAAATGTAGTGTGGAGAGTGTAGGGTGTACCATGGCTCCACAAACTCCAAACAATGGAGAAAACCTGTATTCATGCATGCCACAAATTGTATCATATTTTAGCTGTAGTACCTTGTTGCGCGACCAGGTAGAGCTTGTTGCTGTTTAATACTGTCGCGACCCTAGGAGGTGGTCACTTGGAGTATGGACAGTTCTGAGTTGGCAAACAGACAGCATGGTGGGGGTTTAGCTAGCAAAGGGCCACCATGACAAAGACTTCTATGACGTCTCTCAGCAGCTGGGCTGGAGTGATCCTACATCCCAGTGGCAGAGCCAGCTTTGCAGCCCAAATCATGCGTCCTTTGAAAATAATAGAAAAAAAAGCACAGAGCAAATGCTCATCATGCTCACTTTCTAATATCAGATAGATCTATAATTGTGCTGATTATTCACAATTTGTTTTTTCAAAATATGCATCTGTAACATCTTCCCTCAAATCACACTCATCAATTACGCCACATGTGTGACAGCTTTATAGATTCCCTGAACATAGCATGATTGTTGCCAACTTTAACTGTCAAAGTGTGGACAGATGGGTAGAAGTTGGGATTTGAGAGCTGAAATTAGTTCTATAAAATCAGCTTCCCACCTCAGAGACAGCATGCAATTGCATCTGGTAGTGGGACTACACGATCAACATTGTGATACATGCATGCACAATAGTTACATTGCAGGATGTGTGTTGCAAAGTAAGGCAAATTACACCCCCCTTCCTCTCTCTCTCGCTCTCTTTCACTGTCTGTCTCTGCACCTGGTGAGTCAGACTGATGAGACCATCTAATTTTCTTGTTATCATACTTCTGCTATTATCCTGACATGCCCATACACTGAAGATTTTATTTTCCCAGGAATGGTAGGGTGTGCCGGCCTCTTCTCTGAACACAAGCAGCTATAGTCCCTGACAGATGAAAGCGTTTTACATGCATGCTTTCACAGTGTCCAAATTAATGCATAACAAGTACATGAACTGGGGAGGGGCAAGCTATCTAAACAAAAGGCTAGGCTAATGGCAGAAACTGAATGCTAAAAACAAAGAATATGAACTCAGGCAAGGGAAAAACTTAACTGATAGGGCTGGTTTGGAAAGGGCAAGTGGGAAAACCTGATGGCTATTACAGAGTCCAGGGGGCTCTGCATTCAACACTCTCCAGCCACACATCCACTTCCACCTGGAGGACCAGCTAATACTGTGGATCATAGACTTCCTGACAAACAGGTCACAGAGAGTGCTGGTCAATAACACCTTCTCTGACCTTTCCTTCACCTCAACCGACTCACCTAAGGCCTGTGTCCTCTCACCTCTGCAATTCATCATCTATACCGATGACTGCAGGTTCACCCACCAGACTGACATCTGATCTGGTTAAGTACACAGATGACACCGTTCTCCTGTCCCTGCTCTCAGGCCCATCACGCTTCTACAGCTCAGGACTGCATGAGCTTGTGGAGTGGTATAATAAATCTTCCCTGGAGCTAAACATGGAAAAAGCCAAAGAGATGGTAATGACCTTCTCTAGCAAGCAGAGGGAGCTGGCTACAACAACTGTTAACGCAGTCCATGGGAAGACAGTATAGTGGATGAATACAAGTACCCAGGCCCAAGTTTTAATAACATTCAAATTTTTCTCCAACACTGAGGAGATCCTCAGAAAGTGTCAGCAGCAGCAGTATCTACTGAGGAAGCACAGCACTTTTGGTGTCAGCAGGAACATTCTAAGGACATTTTACTTTTCCTTCATTGAGAGTGTCATTATATTCTGTATAACCTGCTGGTTTCACTCCCATCAGCCTGTAATAGAGGACCCGTTGCTCTCACTGTAAAGGTCTGCTGTAAAATCTTTGGACTCAAACTCAGAGCACTTTGCACCATGTATGAGCAGCAGACATTGTGGACAGCAAGCAGGATCCTCCACACGCTCTGTTCCCAGCGCTAGAATTGCTCCCTTCAGGACATTGGCTCTGCTGTCCTGGAAGTAGGGCTCAGAAGAGCTCCTCAACTCCCAACTGTCACTGCCGCACAGCTCCCCCTTGCTCATTCTGCTTGTGATCTCCCCACTTTGCACTGAGACACTGAATGTGTCATCATCACAGACATGCACCTGCACTAAGGGTGTAAAGATCCACCCATATGAACCGGAAATCGATTTTAACTTTACTGATATGAATACATCGATCAGCAGGTCTCTGGATCGATCTATATCTACTGTGGAGCAGTCGATGTCCGGTTGTAAAGTTATGAATTGATTGATTGGAGCTCTGCTACTAAATATGGCTGCTCCAGTCTTGCGAGACTCCTGCTGTGATGTACTACGAGAGTTACATTTGCTGAACGTCTTTGCTAGCAACAACAGCACAACAACATGGCCGACAGCACCGGTGTTCCAGTTTAGCTGGCGATGCTTGCTGTATTAAGACCTGCGTCTGTGAGAAGATAAAGATACGACATGAAGAAGAGCTCTAAATTCATGTCAATATCATCTACAGACAGCAAAATGAAACATGCTGGCCAAATTAAAAAACACATATTTTTCAAGTTCAGTGAGAGAATTCAGAACTATGTAGTCCAGTGGTAAAATATGAGTTTGGTGTTTTACGCTTTGTGCCACCGATCAGTTCAATTAGGATCCCTTTTCATTCCTATAGATCTTTTCATATCAACTGCTGATAGTCACAACTTAACATAGACACACGCTGCTCGTTTAATAACGAGACATAAAACCAATTATTGTCTGACCAAGCAAAACCCACAATCTAGAAGCACGTTGTGTTGTGTTGCATTGTGTTGTGTGTTTGTCTGAGCATTCAGTATCAGAGATCCAGAGCAGAACGTGAAGTTTAACTCGGGTTTGTTCACCAAAACACACACAGCAGCCTCCCAGCACAACAACACGCAGCACAACATTAGTTTGGTTTGATAAAATGCAACAGAACAAACTGAGGCCACGTTGAATGTTTTCAGTTTGCAAAGTTTATGGACTGCAATATACTGAAGGGGTTAATGTTAATATTTTCTCATATTTAATACAGCAACAGTCTGTCTTGTCTGTGTGTATTCGAAAAATAAACACAATGACATTCTTCTGACCTGATATATTTCTCTTCTATTTTTTTCACCACACATAGATTCAAGCTGCATCGCATCAAATCACATCGCATCGCAATGTATTAAAATGTATCATTAGTGAATTGCATCATAACCCATGTATCTAGATTTGCATCGGATCGCCTCGTAAGGTGGAGATGCACACCCTTAACCTGCACCTTCAACTATTTATTTGTTGATCCAGCTGTTCTCCATCTCTTAAATGGTTCCAGTGGACAATTAAAGTTTTTTTAATTGAACTGAATACAGATCAGTGAGCTTCAAAAACAAAATATAGACTCAATTACCTGCCAAAACTTTAATCTTCCATATTGTTCCCATTTTTAGCAAATGACTCAATGTTTCACAGATCCCCATAGTGTGTCTTTAATTTTTTTGAATACTACAAAGGTGGTTCATAACTCAAGGCAGGGAACACCCAGGGCTACACTTAGAGACAGACAACCTACATTCACACCTGCAGACAATTTAGAATCACCAATTAAACTCAACATGTTTTTGGACTGTTGGAGGAAGCCGGAGAACCTGGAGAGAACCCACGCTGCCAAGAGAGAACATGCAAACCATGCAGAAAGATCCCAGGTGTCCTCACCGGGACACAAACCGGCAACCTTCTAGCTGTGAGGCGACGGTGCTAACCACCGATCCACTTTGCAGCCCTTATTACAACCACCAAACACAAAAAAGTTATTTTTACCATCAGGGATCTTTGACAAAAAAACATGTTTTACAATATATTGTAACTCACTACCAAACACAGCTTGTCTTTAAATACAATATATTGTGCTACTGTTTCAATTTTACAATGTGAATTTTATACATGTAGCCTCTCTCTTGACAAAATAAATAGATACAAATATCAGCAGCTAAAAAATTATGTCTGCCAAATAAATTGTATTTTGTACGTTTATTTCATCTAGGTGCAAATCTTTAACAAATGTATGCATTAAAATTCCCTTTACAAGTGTGAGGCATAGATTATTCCGTCAGTTTGGCATACATTCTAAAATATTGGCTTGTGTTGTTTTGTAGCTCCAGGCTGTAGCTGTGGTGAGAGCCAACTCGGTAGACAAACTCATAAGAAAAAGAAGACACTGGATTACCCCACCAAAACTACTGCATGAAAATGAAGACTATACCGAACTGGAATCTATTGCCAGGGTGAGTCATTGATCTTTGACATCAGCTCTCTTTTGTTGTCTCTTTTATTTCTTCGATTCAGTTTCCATCATATCGTGCTAAATCATAGCATATATCATGTCATGCATAGGTGAAGATCAAGACCTATATTCTAAGGTCAAGACCTTAGAAAAAAATATATATAGATAAAAAAGAATAATATATAGATAAAAAAAACTTAAAACTTCCAGCTTGAACAGCACTTGAAGATAGTCCTCAAGAAACTCAAGCAAGTTCATCTGCTTTCATTTTAGCAATAAGAGACATCCAATACTGGCATGTAATGTATGAAAAGAGATAGAGAAGAGAGTAGGAGAGAGGTAATCAGTGTATCATGGGAAGTCCCCCAGCACTCTAGGCCTATACCAGCATAACTAAGGGACGATTCAGGGTCACATGAGCAGTCCCAACAATAACCTTTATCAAAAAAGAAAGTTTTCATTTTTATCCTAAAAGCACAGAGGGTGTCTGCTGTTTGAACCCAAACCAGGAACTGTTTCCACAGGAGAGGAGCCTGATAGCTGAAGACTCTGCCTTCTAATCTGCTTTTGGAAATTCTGAGAATTGCAAGGCTTTGTATGTGGGGTGGAGGATTTTAAAGCCCCTCATTGATTATTGTTTAAACCCTTAAAGCATCTTCTTTGGTTATCAAAGTTAGATGTATAGAACTTTTTTTTTTTAACGATAAAACTGTTTCCCTGCTTTAAAATGGCTTAGTTATAATTTCAAGCAGTTGCTTCCTCTAGAATGGGCAGATCTACATAGTCCCTGCCTCCGCATACTGATCCTTTCCCAATTGCTGCAGCTCAAGCGCACCACCTCACCTACGACTCTCCTGAAACAGTGCAAAATTAGTCTACACTACACTATGACAACTTGTCATATTGGAGTCATTCAAACATACATGATAAAGCCAAAAATCAACCCAGCAAGTTGACAGGATTGGTTTCTTAGATTTCTTACCTCGGACGTTTTGAGACAATCATTGATATACTACAAGTTGACAATATCTCACCACGGTGTTGACTGCTTATTTTATTCATGATATGTCTATAAAAAACATCACATACACATGTTAAAAAGTACATACAATTGAAATTTAACTTTAACTTTAACACCACCTATGTGATAAATTGTCTGCTTTGTCTGTTTGTTTTCCCATATGATGCACAAAAAGATAAATGAAAATAAAAGATATTTTTATTTTTTATTTTTTTGGTGAAATCCTAAATGACTCATTATCAGATGTCCCAGTAATTCATTTATGACAAACTGATGAATCCTGTTAGACTTGGCAACTGTTGTGTCTTAGACACTCTTCTGTTTATGTAATGTGCAATAATTTGCTTTGCCAGCAGAGGGAGCCACTGAGTATTTTCACAAGCAGTCAGACAAGTCATATCTGACGGAGAGTGCTGAGGTGGTGATGCTTTGTTGTTTTTTCTCCATGTTTAACTTAACTGGTCTTCCAAAATGTTTAACCAGCTGTTTTTAGTCCAGCAAAATGGACAACACTTCCACCCTCTGCATGTTCTGCAAACCAGAATTTTCAATTTGAGGCCCACTACAACAATGCTGGACAGTAACTCCCCTCTGTGCGACAATGGGAAACTTATCTTCTGACGACTTTGCACAATAAACTTTATTCTCACTTTTAACTTTATTTGCACTGCAAAAGTTCTGTCTTATCTTAAACTGATATCTGCCTGTGGTGCAGATGGGGTTTTTTTTGTTTTCTTCTTGTGCCTTCTTGTGCTGTGCTATGTTCAGCATTTTCTCTCCTCTGTATTTCAGATTCACTCAGATTGGGATGATGGCAAAGGGAACCTTGTCTACTCCCTGAAAGGCATTGGTGCGAGCCGACATCCCTTCCATGTGTTTGTAGTTAACCCTGATACTGGACTGATTCGTGTGACCAAAGTGCTTGACAGGGAGTCCATCAGTATGTACAATGTGAGTGATACAGAAAAAATGTATAAAGTATGACCTCATAATATTTTTTAATATGCTGTAACTGAGATATTTGAGAGTAAATGACAATACTTTGTCAATAGCGCTTATGTACCTACTAACATATATGATAAAAGACATTTGAGTTTTCTGTTTCAGCTGACAGGCGTTGCTAGATTCAACAATGGCAGTCAGGCGGAGGAAAACATTGACATACGTTTCAAGATTGTAGACGAGAATGACAATGCTCCAGTGTTTGGAGACATAAAGCCTGGGGAGGTGAATGAGCTCAGTCCTAGAGGTTAGTATTTTTATTTCAACTACATTCAGTTTTATTTATATAGCCCAACTTCACAACACATTTCATTTCAAGGAAACTGAAATGTGTGTGTGTGTGTGTGTGTGTGTGTGCACTTCCACCCCAGGGGAGCGCTCCGACGGGGTGGAAGTGGCCAGAATGCACAGGCAGTACTTGGCTGCTGATGCCAGTTTAGGATACCAAGGTTTTCGGATTGTTAAGGGTCGGTATGTCAAGTCATGACTGTATTAGGACATTGACACAATTTTCAGCATTTTGAGTCTGTACACCACCACAATGGATTTGAAATGAAACAATCACAATGTGCTTTAAGTGCAGACTTTCGGCTTTAATTTGAGGGTATTTACATCCAAATCAGGTAAAGGCCTCTACTGCAGCTGTGTTTAGTTCCTGTTTGTTCTTGGGGCATTTTCCCTTCACTTTTGTCTTCAGCATGTAAAATGCATGTTCAGCTCATTCAGGTCAAGTGATTGACTTGGCCATTGCAGAACACTTCCACTTCTTTGCCTTAAAAAACTCTCTGGTTACTTCCGCAGTATGCTTCGGCTCATTGTCCATCTGCACTGTGAAGCACCATCCAATGAGTTCTGAAGCATTTGGCTGAAAATTAGCAGATAATATTGCTCGAAACACTTCAGAATTCACCCTGCTACTTTTGTCAGCAGTCACATCATCAATAAATATAAGAGAACCAGTTCCATTGGCAGTCATACATCCCCACGCTATTACACTGTATCACACACTGTATACATCTTGTTGTCATGGGAACCAGACATGTACTCAGCCAGTGATGCAGATAAATATGTTTTAATGTTTAGTCCCGATTTGCTGCCAAGTCTCTGTACACTGCTGCTACTGCAGGTGATAGAAAGCAGATTAGAAAATGGATTGCTCTATTGGTATTTATTATAGAGAATATTCAATCAATAACATTAATTTTACTTTGATTTAGCCAAAAATTAAAGTTATATCCTGTATTATGGGACAGTATCCGACCTAAATGCACCTTAATACAATATCATGTTTAAATATATGTACAGTCATTGACATAAGTCTTGTTGCCTAAGCATGCAGTAACTTAAAAAGGCATATAACTTTATTTCTAATCAATCAATTTTTCATTTTCGTCCCGGTCACAGCACACTGGACCAGCTCTATACCCTCCATCGGGTGCTCGAGGGCTCATGGGAGTTCACCCAACCAGTCCACATGTGCTTTGTGGATCTGGAGAAGGCGTTCGACCGTGTTCCTCGTGGCATCCTGTAGGGGGTGCTTCGGTAGTGTGGGGTGCGGGGCCCTCTGTTAAGGGCTGTCTGTTCCCTTTACGACCGCAGCAGGAGCATGGTTCGCATTGCCGGTAGTAAGTCAGACCTGTTCCCAGTGCGCGTTGGCCTCTGCCAGGGCTGCCCTTTGTCACCGGTTCTGTTCATTATTTTTATTGACAGAATTTCTCGGCGTAGCCAGGGGGAGGAAGGGGTTCGGTTTGGGAACCACAGAATTTCATCTCTGCTGTTTGCAGATGATGTTGTTCTGTTGGCTTCATCAAATCAGGACCTTCAGCGTGCACTGGGGTGGGGAGTGTGGGGCGAGCAGGATGAGGATCAGCACCTCCAAATCTCGGTTCTCGACCGGAAAAAGGTGGCTTGCCCTCTCCGGGTCAGTGGAGAGTCCTTGCCTCAAGTGGAGGAGTTCAATTATCTCAGGGTCTTGTTCACGAGTGAGGGGCGGATGGAACGTGAGATTGACAGACGGATCGGTGCAGCATCTGCAGTGTTGCGGTCGCTGTACCGGACCGTCGTAATGAAGAGAGAGTTGAGCAAGGGGGCAAAGCTCTCGATTTATCGGTCAATCTACGTTTCTACTCTCACCTATGGTCATGAGATTTGGGTAATGACTGAAAGAACAAGATCGCGGATACAAGTGGCTGAAATAACAATGTGGATAAGAGACTTTTGTCAGTGATGTAATACATAGTTTAACAAGTTCAATGTGCATTTTATGACTGTTTCATTTAATGTTTGTTTGTTTGTTTGTTTGTTTGTTTGTTTTACAGGAACTTTAGTTATGAAAGTCAATGCAACTGATGCTGATGAACCAGGGAATAACAATTCTATGATTGCTTATAGCATCATAGAGCAGAGGCCACCTGATGACATGTTCTACATGGACCGTAATGGGAACATCTATGTCAACAAGCTTGGGCTGGACAGAGAGGTATAAACTTTACCAACAGTGGTGTCTTTTTTTGTATATTACAGTAGATGACACTGTGTGCTTAACTTTGTGACTTTATAGATAACACTATAGTATATACGGGTGTTAAAAAGTGAAGAAAACTTGGAGCTTGGCATTAGTTCACTCGAGCAGAGTCACCGCCAAACACAAATGCATATCATTCTGAAATAAATGGTTAAATCTGACAAAGTGTCCTGAACAGGCACAGAGTCAGGGAGTCACAAAGCCCTTTTCTGTCCAGTTGCTCACTTCTTAAGTCCACCCACCCACTTAGCATGCTTTATAACTGAGGTGGTGTCATTAATTCTGCCCACTCCGTGCTCACCACAACACTGCTACCGCAACAAATCTTTTGTCACTGTTCATCTCCTCTTCAGAGATCTCTCAGGCAGCTTATCAAACTCAGTTTTTAGAGATTTGTTCTTACCTTCTGACTGTGATTATGTCTAGGCAGGCCAATTCATCTTCATTGTAGGATTGTAGCATTGTCACCAAATCAGGCCAGCCTTTCAGAAGTTGACGATGACATGTCCTAAATCTCGAGTGTCAGCTGGAGCACCGTTACAAGGGAACATCCCTTTCATCCTCCTAAAACAATTTTAGAATTCAATAAGAGCTTCTAGCAGTCAAATCCAACCTCTGAGCAGCATAAAACATCAAGAACTTCTGTCTTGTTTCAGCTACTTCAGTTCATAATCTTAAATTCACATCAGAAAACTCTGGACGCTCCAGCCCCCTCCATCCTGTCGGATCTAATCTAAACCCTGTTTCAAATTCGTAAGGCCTTGCACCCAACCTCCCCTCATCATGTCTCATCTACGTGTCCACCAGTCTCTCCTCTAAACACCATGGACTCTAATTCACTTCCCAAAATCCAAGTTTCCTCAGTGCCTGTTACCTGCCCTACAGTTTCCGGGTTTAAGACCACCCACTGGAGTGATATCATAGCTGATCCACCAGAGCAACATGTTCTCTGCAACTCCAGCACCCTCTACGGGTGTGGCCCTTTTCCTCCAGCAGTAGCCATGTCCCCTCACCTCTGTAACCACACAGTGGCAGATAATAACATCAACCTAGTTAAATTCAGTTTAGTTCATCTAAATCATGCTGGGCAGTAAAGGTTTTGGCAGTTGTGTTGAAATATCATGCAACATTATTGATTTCTTAAGAGATTCAAGATTCAAGAGTTTTTATTTGTCACATGCTCATACAGTATGTGCAGTGAAATGTAAGGTGACTGTTTCTTATGGCAGTATAATCACAATAAGACATTATAAAAAGGATAAATCTTCAAAAAGCAATAGAAAATTAAAGCTGCAAGCAGCGTTGGACGGGCCCTCGCACTTCCGCGCGTGTCGGACGCGGCGTACGTCGGGGTTGTGGCAGAAATGTGCTCTGAGCAAGGTGACAATCACCTAACCCTAACCATTTGACCCTTTACAAAAATTGGTACTTTGGCCTTGTATTATACATCAAGAAGTTTTGTGTAAGTCAGTGTTGAAAATTAACCATGTTGTTGACGTAACTAAAATAGTTAACCTCATCAGGGAAAGAGCTTTGAATCCTAGGCATTTTGTTGCACTTTAGATATCTGTTCTGACTGCTGAGATCATCCATCTTGTTTTCCAGGGACTGTACATTAGCAAGAATGATACTGGGCAAGGGTAGGCGATGGGCCTAAGTTCTGAGCCTGTTCCAAACACCATGTTGTCCTCAGTGCTTTTTTGTTCTCTGTCTCTGTGTTGCGTCGCTGTTGTTATTGTCCTCAGTGTCATGCAGTATCTCACCTGGCCACTTATGATCTTCATAAAAAAAAAAAAAAAGCTAGAAAACTTTGTAACAAACCTTCCTATCCCTACAAGTGTGCTATAGTCATATGTTATTCTACCAGAAAAAAAACTGGCATTACAAAAGTGAAAATAAAATAATATCTCTGGCAGCTCTTTTGTGTCCAGACCTCTGAACCTCTGAGTTGCTTGTCATCTTGAAATGAAAACTCACAGTCAGATTCACAGTGGGTCACCATTATACAGGCACGAAACAGTATAACTTTTATAATGACACACTACAAGCATTGGTCACTTCAGAGTTCTTATCTCATGCTGCTGCCTTTGCAGGTTTTGAGGGTCTTCTTTAGTAAGTAGCATTTTGCAAATGTATGGTCAAGGAGCTTCCATTCTTGGCCACCAGCATCCAGCCTACCACTCTGTTGCAATCTATTTCCTGTCCTGCAAGAAGGTGAATAGTAGAGGAGACATCATTATATTTTGCGACAGCGAACAGTGACAGTAACACTGCATCTTTTGAAGAATGGTGCAGACATGACAGCATTTACAAAAAGTTGCAGCATTATTTTTTTTTTTTGACAGTAACACTGCATCTTTTGAAGAATGGTGCAGACATGACAGCATTTACAAAAAGTTGCAGCATTATTTTTTTTTTTTTTTACAAAAGCTACGTGTACTAACTCACATGGTAGACAACTTTGCACTGGGTTTTTTTTTAATTGAATTCCCCACAGAACTTGGAAATGCATTCAAGGTGGACTTGGATTTAAGTTGAATGTTTGCCACCACAAACTTTTTTCATTTGCAGAGGCTGCTTCAAATACAGCACCAATTATTGCACTGAGTGCCCATAAATACTTTGCTGACTAAAATATAATGAAATTAAATTATTTCAGGCAGATCACCTAAGATGTTCATGGCTCGTATACAGTACAACTAAACAGTTCTTAACTTCCTCCCCTGGTGCATCCCTGAACCAGGTCCCTGTATCAGGGAGCCACTTTCATTTTGTGAAAGTTTGCTGAACATGGCACACTTAGCATGGTATGGTTAAAATAAATGTAGCATTGCTGTGCTTCATTTCTGTTGCATCAACTTTATCATAGCTGCAGGTGTGACATTTTAGAACAAATCCAATTCACTAATTTTATTTTTTTTTTTCAAATCTCATTCTGCCTTGGTGATGATTATTTTTGGGTCACAGTTATAGATTATTAGATTTTGGAATTTGGTATTTTTTTCGAGTAGAAATTTAAAAAAAAAAAAAAAGCATATCCCAAGGCAAACAGAGTTAAAGATACTGCCTTCTCTGCAAATGGGAACTAGCAAGTTGACCAAAACATACCGTAAGATCTGTTCCTACTCAGTTCTGAATGGCTTTGGGCAGAACTAGACATTGACATAATTTCTCGAAATTATAGTAAACTAAAATAAATAGTTAACTGTAGTGGTACTTCCTTTCTGGGTGAAACTGTGCAACAAAATATTAAGTTCAATTACAGTCTGTTCTTTAGCGTTTAGACTTTACACCTGTCAGCTGAGACTCATCAAAAAATAATACTATGATATAATAATAATATATGCCATCTTGTCTTCTTTCTTCAGAAAGAAGATCAGTACATTCTGCTGGTGAGAGGTCAAGACTCAAATGGCCAGCCCGGGGGGAAAAGTGGAACCGGCACTGTTACCATTAATGTACTCGATGTAAATGATAATGTTCCCACTCTGGAAAAAGATAAGGTAGTGTCCTTTTTCACACATTTTGTCACACAGAAAATGTTTCCACTGGGGTTCAGAGGTTCCAATATTTTGAAATATATGAAAATGCTAATTTGCTCATGTTACACATTGTCAAAGAAATCTTTTTTTTTTTTTTTTATTGTCTTTTAAAAATATATTAATTAAGCTAGCTCTGTTACTTAAACCCTATTTTGTGTTTTANAAAATGCTAATTTGCTCATGTTACACATTGTCAAAAAAGAAATTTTTTTTTTTTTTTTTTAATGTCATTAAAATATATATTAATGAAGTTAGCTCTGTTACTTAAACCCTATTTTGTGTTTTACTTGCAGTATGAGGCAAGCATTGAGGAGAACACAGAAGGTGTGGAGGTGATGAGAATCAAAGCAGAGGATCTGGACCAGGACCACACAGACAACTGGGAAGCTGTGTTTGATATTGTCAAAGGCAATGAGGCTGGGTACTTCAGCATTAAAACAGACCCCGAGACCAATGAGGGCATCCTAATGCTTGACAAGGTAATGCAGTTTTAATTAAGGACTTTTTTTTTTGAGCTGTTATCGCAATCTTTTTTTCGGAAATTACAATATACAGTCATCAAAAAAAATCATTAGACCACCCTTGTTTTCTTCAATTTCTTTTTCATTTTAATGCCTGGTACAACTAAGCGTACATTTGTTTGGACAAGTATAATGATAACAACAAAAATAGCTCATAACACACACACAGGAGTTACTACTTGATTGCATAACCATTGTTTTTGATGACTGCAGCCATGCGTCTTGGCATGCTCTCCACCAGCTTCTGACATTGTTCTGCTGACACAGCAGCCCATTCCTGTTGCACAAATTCAAACAAATTTGCTATGTTTTTGAGCTTGTGGTTCTCCTTTTTGCATTTGATGATTTTCCACAGGTTTCCAACTGGATTTAGATCTGGTGATTGAGTAGGCCAAGGCATGGTTGGAATGTTCTGGTTCTCCATCCAGGCTTTAATTGACCTTGCCGTGTGGCAAGGGGCATTGTCTTGTTGGAAAATCCAGTCAGTGGAGGCAGGAAAGAGTTTTCCAGCTGATGGAAGAAGACTGTTTTCAAGAGTAGCCCTGTACATGACCTGGTTCATTCACCCGTCATACAATGACATTTGCCCTGTTCCACCCATACTGAAACAACCCCAGATCGTCACTGATCCACCCCCATGTTTTACTGTAGGGGCAAGACAGTTTGGTTTGTAGGTTTCTCCAGGCTTCCTCCTCACCAGTAAGTTGGCTGGAGTGGGCATCAACTGACAACTGGATTCATCACTGAAGAGAACCTTAGCCCAATCATCAACAGTCCAATCCTTGTGATCCCCAGCAAAGAGTAACCAGACTTTCCTCTGCCTTTCGTTGATGAAGGGCTTCTTCTGTGTCCTGTGTGACTTCAGACCAGCTTCAAGAAGTTGGTTTAAAACTGTCCTTGCTGAAGAAGTCACATTTCTCCACAGTGCCCACTCATTTTTAAGCTCCCTGGAGGTCTGACAATGATTCCTGAAACAGGAACGGATGAGTGTCTGGTCATCTTGTGGGGTAGAAAGACATTTCCTGCTGCGACCAGCTAGCAATTTGGTAGTACCATGTTGGGCTTGTTTTTTCTTGGTGTAATGAATGGCTGTCTTGGAGATCTTCCATTTTTTCGCTACCTGTCTCTCACTCATGCTTGTTTCCAGCAGTGTCAAGATGGCTGCCTTTGTGGCTTCACATAATTCTTTTGTTTTAGGCATCATGTGAGAGCTGACAACTTCTGAGTTGTGCTACGGCTTGAATGTAAGCAGGAAACCACTCTAGGCCTTTGCATGTGCAGTGCTGCTTATGACATGAAATGGCCTCTTATATACCCTGGGAATACAATTAAGCTTAAGCATGTCAAATAGGACATAAAGTATTATGTAATCAGCTGCATTTTTTGTCGTGTTCATTGTATTCTTCAGGTAATATGTCTTTAGTGGTACCAGGCATTAAAATGAACAAGAAATTGAAGAAAATAAGGGTGGTCTAATCATTTTTTCCATGACTCTTGATTTGGTAAATTAAGTGATCATACTCCATAAATAATGAATTAACCCAAATATCTTAGGCGATGTCCAAACTACCCAAGTTTATTCTTCACTGCAGAAAAGCAGTGGTTCCTTCTTGGTGTCAGATTCCTGTGGGTGACCCCAGCCACCAAATTAAGAAACCTTGTTTTGGCTATAATCTCGTTCATTCAGCACCCAAACCTAAAAACTGCAGATGAGGAATGACTGGAATGTAGATTGTGCAGTAACTCAAGAGCTTAGCCTTCAGGCTCAGTTTACTCATTACCGTCATAACTGTCTGGTACACAACTGTCAGGTAAATATCATGGTTTGGCAATCTAGAGTTTCCTACTGTCCACGCTCCACATGTTGTTTGCACCTTTAGATTCTTCTAATGCAGCCCTCTGTTAGAGAATGCCCTTCACTTCATAGGATTACAAAGTTAAATATCAACTTTTGCCCAAAGTGTCAGAGTGTGTCAACCATGGACGTCAACCCAACTATGTCAGCTTGGTAATACTACCACCAGCTCCTCCACCACCAGAGAGGTGATGGACGTTGCATCTATAAATACAAGCTTTTATAGCTGGGACTCTAAGTAGCCTGCCATTGCCTGCCATCAACTGGAATGCAGTTGATACTTATGTCTAGTCATGCTAATGGAGGGCCCCACAAGACAGCATGTTATACCTTCTGCATGAGCCTGATCATGTCCCACAAGGAAAATCTCTGCCTCGTGGCACTTGAAGTTGTTGTTGTCTGTTTTGTTTGATACCAGAACTAAATGTAACCACTGACCCTTTTTTTTGGTCCTATCTACTAATCAATAGTCCTGTAAACAGTTGTGCAACATGTCCAAGTAATGCAATGAGTGCAACAACAGCAAAAAAACATCTGCAAAAATGCGAAACTGAACCAGTCTGTTAGAGGAGCTGTTCCACTGCCTGTCCTGTAGGGTGTGAAGTGGGTGGTCAGGATCACTCCGAGTGGACAACGGTTTGTTCAGTGTCCTCCTTTCCACCACAGCTTCAAAGGTGTCCCGTTTGCAGCCAATCACAGAGCCAGCTTTGCTGATCAGTTTTTTCAGTCTGTTGGTAAATGACTAATCAACAAAATGTTACTTTAAATGACAGATATAAGTGTTTTTTAGTACGGATTTTATGCATGGCAAGTCTGTTTCAACGTGTCTGACATTGTTACGGTAACTTATGTTCTCTTTCTTTGTGTGTGACATTTCACAGCCTGTGGATTATGAGGATGTGAAAGACCTTGAACTAGGGCTAGCTGTAAAGAACAAGGCTCCACTGTTTGATGGACCTGGGGTAAATCCTGGAACTGGAGGTGGAACAGGAGACACAGAGGACGGAGGCGGGGTCTTGGATGGAGATGGAGGTGGGGAAGGAGGTGGAGATGGGGATGCAGAGGGGGGAGGGG